TAAGGAATTCTCGTTGATTATTTGGTTGAAATCGTAGATTTTTCTAATTTAATATATGCAATCTCTGGAATATTGTCTATATACTTTGGAGGTTATGTTGTAATTTGCATTTTTTGGTTGAGCTATAGCAACCTTTGTGAATTTTGTGATTTTTTCATTGCGAGTTTTCACATTTCAATCACAAAATGTCGATAACTCCTTTTACACGTTTTATTAGAGCCACGGAGGTTGTATTAAAAAGTGTAGCAGCATTTGAGAAGGTAAAAGAATCTACGTATTCTGTCCACAACCTCGACATTCGTAGTTCAGAAATTCGAACGTTGTGGAATAAAGTCCAGTGCACTTATGATGAGTGTAAAACATACCTCACGACATCCGAGACTGCACAGACAGATAATATTGATGTCGTAGAGGAAAAATATAATACTGCATTTATTGCATATTCCTGGTGTTTATCCACCATCAATCGGCATATCCGTCACCTTAAATTACAAGTAAATGATAATAGTTCTCCTACTATAGCTCCTTTAATTTCATCACCTCCATCAAGTTGTTGTACCTCCAATCCATCAAGCACATTGTTGAACTGCTCTCCTTCCGGTTTGGCCTCAAGCAAATCTGTGCAGTCCACCACCTCTCTCGTTGCTCCTGAAATTCAATCTTCTACCACCTCCAATAGCTACACTTGCCCACCTGTCGATAATCATAGTCTCACTGTACCACCTATCGACATAGTTATTTTTGCTGGGGATTTCATATCTTGGCCCACCTTCCGGGATCTCTTCACCACCCTTTTTATAAACAATTGTCGTTTATCGGATATTGAACGTATCTGTCATCTAGTACAGAAGACCAACGGTGAGGCTCGTGAAATCGTTTCCAGATTTCCACTCACCTATTGTAGTTTTGCTCTAGCGTGGAAAGCTTTGTCCGACACATATGACAATAAGCGTATTGTCGTAAATTTACACCTAAAAATGTTGTTTGAAATCCCCTCCATATAAATTGAAACTATTTCTGTTTTGAAAGCTATCCAACGTGGAATAAATAGTTGCCTCGCTGCAATGTCAGTCTATGACGTCACCACGGATAATTGGGATCCCATTGTTGTTTTTATTTGTTTGCAGCGGTTGCCCAAAATGACTTTGACTCTGTGGGAGCAAAGTATCAAAAATAAATCGTCGTTGTCTTCTTTCTTCACAGAGAGGATACAAACATTGATCTGCCTTGAAAATATCCTCCCCTCCAAAAAGGCATTGTTGTCGCCAAAGAAAACTTTCTTTTAACTCTTCTAAGAAGTCACCTTGCAATATCACTCCACCTAATTCCACCCATAAATTCTTATCGGTGCAGCATTCAAAATGTGCCACTCATTCTCCACCTGTGAAACCATCATTGAAAATTTCTTCCACCATTTGTCCTAATCAGAGTCATCATCTGCGACTTTGCCCCTAATTTTTAAAACTTTCATTTGAGGACAAATTTTTGATAGTGAAGAAAAATAAGTGTTGTTTAAATTGTCTTTCCCGTGGTCATGCAGTTAAAACCTGCAAAAGCAAAATTAGTTGCAATGTGTGCAAACTGAGGCACCACAGTCTTCTTCACCGGCCACGGACAAATCTAGTCGTGTGTTCCAATCCTCCTCCGGCTTTTACAAAGCTCAAAAGTCGAGGACAGAATTCGTTGCTCCGTTCTTCGAAGAAATCATCTCCGGCTTTTACTAAAGTCAAAAGTCGAGTATTTAAATCGTCGCACCCGTCTTCGGATAAAAAAGTAGTTCATCCCCCGAAACCTATTACCACTCAAGATAGTAATGTGCTCTTGGAAACGGCTGTTGTTAATATTGTTCATAAAGGTAAAAGGCATTCTGCTCGTGCCATTATAGATCCATCTTCTCGGGTATCTATTGTTAGCAATAAACTAAAAAATGCACTTGGCATTTCAGTTGATTCGAAGAAAGATTGCAAATCTCCTACACCAAGAGAAGTTTGTTCTCTAAAGTTATCGTCCCCTAAAATTCTAAAATTGTTGAAGCAAAAGCACTTGTTCGGCCTACTGTTAAGGGGAAATTGTTTTCACCTCCACCTATTTCGACGTTGAAATCTAAAATTCCTTTAGATTTATCTGATACCTATGATGGCAGCCCAATAGAATTGCTACTTGGTGCTGATTTGTACCCTAAAATATTGGAAGTTGAACCCCCAAAAATAGTTTTGAATTCGTTGTTGGCCCAATTTGACTAAATGCTAATATCGTTTTATCGTTGTATATAACCCATTTATAAACATATATCATACTAAACTAGTAACTTTGAACAGCTCACTTGAAATCTGAATTTACGTTCATTTGAAAGATTTAACCAACCCATATTCCATTTTTATTGCTACTTAGTCAGTCGTAGCAAGGGGGCCGGAATGTTTAAGTTTGATACATTGGCCTACAACTTCCTGAGCTAAATCGATCACGGATGCTGATTGACAGCTCGGGTATTGCCTCTGCACGTTCCCTCTGCGGACACCGCAGAGCGTATATACCAAAGGGCAACGGTTGTTGTTGGTTGGCTCCCCTTGCTTGACATTCTCTCAGTGGAATATGCGTATGTAGTTGTAGCTGTACAAATACAAAGATCATTAAGATCCAACGATCCTCTGCGATCCACGTGAACCTCTGCGTTCACTAGCTTACTAACCTTCTTATCGAACTAACCTCTACGCGTTAGTACTAATAGGCCTCTGACGCCACCACACCAAATTACAAAGGTAATTTATTTGTTGTAATAAGGAAAAGAAAGAACCACCAATAAAACCGAGATATTTAGAATAATTAGACTAATTATCCTCGTGCTTTTTTTCTTTTGCAATTTCTTTTCTTTCATTTACACCATTAACAGCTTGGGAGCTCTCGTTGTCGCTTCACCCCGCTCCATCGAGTTAATTATTTGCACACCCCCTCCATCAGCACGGCGAGGATTTGAGCAAGTCCCTCGCCTAAACACGTGTTATTAGTGTTTTCGGATTTTCTTGGTGCTAATTGATAACAGTCGAATCCGCTTAATTGCACACGCACTGAGAGAAATTTCTGCATCAATATAATGAATTTCTGCATTGGCCCAATGAAATGTTTCATTAAAAAAAGACCAAAGAAACATTTCATTGGATGAATGATTCGAAAACATTTATTTAATGAAACGTTTCCATCATTGGATGGATGAAATATTGCATTAGATTAATGACAACCATTCATAGATGTATTGAAACAAGTTCATAGAATATATGAAATATCTTCACATATTTAATGTATAGTTGCATTCGTCGAATGAATCATATTCACACATATATTGAAAAAGTTTCATTGGACTAACGACAAAGTCATTAACCCAATGAAACATGTTCATTGATGTAATGAAATAAATTCATTGATTTAATGAAGCTTTCATTTATTCTATGAAACATAATCGTTAATTCAATGCAACATCTTCATAGATATAATGAAATTTATTCATGAATAGAATAAAATGTCTTCATAAATCCAATGAAATGTGTTCATAGATTGAATGAAACATATTCATACAGCAAATGAAACATTAATACAACAAATGAAACCCCTTCATATGCTAAATGAATGATGTACATTTAAATAATGAAAGGGTTTCTTTGATTTTATGAAATTGTTAATTTTTTATGAACGGGTTTCATTTGTTGTGTGAATATGTTCAGGCATTATTTACCATTTAGACAAGAATATATTCACATACTTATTTTTTTTATTTTTCTTTATTTTGTAAAAACGTATCTTTGTTAATTCATTTACAAACAAAAGAGGTCTTAGATATCTATGTTAAACTCAAAAATAATAAATTCATATTGTGACTTGTTTTGCAAGCGGTTTTTAAAAATTAATTTTGTAAATATTATTTAATCAGTGTTACAAAAGTTCATGTTTCTTCTTACATATCATATTTTGTAAACAATTCTACTTAGTTATAATTCATTTTTCAGTCCATTTTGATTTGTTTTTAACAGTAATATATTTAATATATTTTTAGCATACAAGTTCTTATAAAATACTATAACTTTTTTTACTTATATAGTCTATAAGTCTTTATTTGTAATTACTTGAGGTAATTCAAATGCACAGTCAGTTTTTAATCTGCGGAATTTAGGAACGTTTGTTATTTGCATAAATCTAATTTTCGAACTTATTTTTAATTGATATGAAGATATCAATATAAAAATAGCTTAATTATTATTTAATTTAGTGTTTTAAATATCTGAGAATTTATAACTTATAAAATTGAAACCAATTACTCAGATTGTTTCTCTAAATCATCCAAGAGGATGCTTACCTTTGACTTTTTCTTTGAGCATGAACTTATTTCAAAAAAGTAGTTTTCCAAAAAGATCCAAAATGTTTCAGATGCTGTGGGATATTGTAAATTAAATAAATGGAACATTTTAAAACAAATATCCAAAGAGCGAAGAAAATTAGGAAACCGTATGAGGTCACCATCAAAATAAACAAAAATTTCATGTATATCGTTCAGACTTCCGATTCCCAATATAAAAGGCTGAATATGTTCTTTCATCTTTAACAAAAAATCAATATGGTCGTGTAATTCTTGCAAAGTCTTTCCCAAAAACAAAAACGTCTTCTGGGAGTCCTTTATTGTATAGCGAGATATTTCTTTCTTTCCGAGAATTGTTTTTCGAACTAGCCGCCCAGTCGGGAAAAGAACATAATGTAAAATCCACAGGGTTTTCACTGCAAATGTGCCTCGATCTGCAAATAATAACGTTAAATTAGGTTTGATCGATTTGTTGAGCTTGACTTGAAGACTCTTACCCTTTTCTAAATCTTCGTCCTGGAGAGTTTCTAACATTTTTGACTCACCATGACATTTAAGTTGCTTAGATTTTTTCAAAAAGTTAAACAACTTTAGAATTTTTTGGTCCCAGTTGAGCATTTTGTTGTGCGATTTATGTATTATTGAGAAGTCAATATCAATCTGAATTTAAAACAGTTTTTGTAGAATTACGCTAAAATTATCAAATGTTTACAATTTGATATATATATACTCACCAACTTATAATGCGATTTATATTCAGGCCACTTTTTAAGAATCTCTCGTAGGCTACTGCATTCGTTAAGTACTTGATTAAGTCTATAGTTGGCACAAGAAATCCACTTTGTTTCAAACTCTTCAGCTGAAAGCTTGTCATATTTAAGAACTTGCACCAAATCCTCTCCATTCTCCTCAGGTACTGAAAATACAAATTAATTAAAAACCATTACTAAACCACAAATTCCACATTTCCTACCAAAAGTAATTTTAGCCTTTTTTGACGCCGTAGGTGATTCGTTTTCCAGCATAAAAATCTGCTTGCTTTGTTTTTTAAGATTTTGGGATTTTACATAAATTTTTCCTCTACGTTCTGTTCGATAGAATTCAAGTTTTTCAGTCGGAAATAGAGACAATATTTGCGTTTCGAGTTTGTAGCTTGCTTGAAGAGTCATTGGTGCGTCTTTTCTTGCAAAATGCTGGGCAGCAATGTTTATAATGAAAACTCTTAGTTCATCTGTGAGAAACTTGTTTTTTTCGTAAAACTGTAGCACACGTTCCCCATTTTTATTACTTTGCAATATCTCCAACATATTGACGTTATCGACTTCTTCCGTATCAGATGAGTTACACGAATCGGCTTTTTTGGGAAAAACTGGAGGACTTGAACATTCTGCCCAAAATGGATGGTTAATATCATGTCTCCACTTTGTGAAATGGTGAATGAACTGGGCCTTGTCTCCAATTCTCCAATTCTGTGTCAGCTCTTTAACATGTTCCTCAGTTAGTATTTTCAAAATATCAATAGAAATATGTTCACCTATAAGAAGTTAACGTTATTATAGCACAAAAAACTAATTATATAGGTTCAGCATATAAGTTAAATCTTACGTATGAGTATGTCCAATTTGTCTTCTATACCCCATGATATAAGTAAGTTTTTCAAGGCATCTTCTTCCCCACAGCTCAAAGTCTCCGAGTTTGTTTCAGACATTTTTAAACTAAAAATAAATTGTTTAGCATGGAAAAAGGTATTTTTAAATTGTTTCTTTGAAACGAAGCATAAATTTTCCCTTAGCGGTATTAATCAATGTGGCCGGTGGTCCAATTAATTCGTCAAGCTTCAAAACGGAATATTCTCCTTTATCATTTGGAATAATTTCAAATGCAGTGTAGTGTTTCAAATACGTACTGTTTAGAACTTGTTGACAAACCAAATAAACTGTGAGTTGTGAAACAACGATGTTGACAATTTTGTATACATCATCTTTTTTTGTTGCTACAAAATACGAACTTTTGTATGTGATATTTTTATAAACAACTTTTTCAAAAGTCTTTATAGTATTTTTTGCAACTTTTAATTTGAGGCTTATAACGTCCAGCAAATAATCTTGACACTCGCTGATATTCGAGCAAATAATGTCCGGAATCTCAGTTTTTTCTAACAAAAAATCTGCAAACACAAATTGATATTTTTTTGCCA